ACTCAAAACCAATAATCCATCAAGCCGATCCGGCTCCGTTCATTACACATTTGCACAAATCACACTAAACGTTGATCACAGCTTTCGATTACGTATGAGGGAAGTTAGTTGTACTCAAAAAGATAGATGCGTTAATGAACCAACCGATCACACAAAGTAGAAATACAGTGAGATAGGCGAGCACGAATGGATAGCGTATCGATGGTACGCTCAGTAGAGTTTCCTCTTCGACAATTTCATCCGAATCAGTTTCGTTTATCATCACAATGCTGAACGAATGTTCTAAGTTGTGCCTGAAAGAACATTACATCGAAAATCATCCGAGTGACTTCCCTGTACAATTCGCTACTGAACGAAGCAAGTGCACAACGAAGCAAGGAAACGATTACGGAATAATAAATTCAATCAAAACTCTATTCAAACTATCAGAAAGTTTGCCGCGATCAGTAGTCAATAAGATACTGAACAAAAAAGTTGAAAAAAAATCATATGAGTGCCAAAATGCTACAAATGTTACAAATCCGTTCGTGAGTTTATTGTGGAAAGTCGACCTCATGAATTCTAAGTTGCTCTATCAGCTTCAGAACATTTTGCACAACTGTGATGTGCAAAATCGAATAACGTTAGGCAATTCAGTGCAGTTTTAAAGCAATGCACGAATATTCTCAGTGCAATATACCCGTTAGCCCACATCATCAACGGAATCGCAGCAGTGCGTTAAAATACCGCTACAAATAGCGCAGCTCTCACAAATTCAGGGAAATTTTTCGGATTTGAATTCAATACTCGACGGAGGTTTGCGGCTAATCAGCTTCACATTGACTGCAGCTAGTTCGCTGGCGTCATTTTGATCAAATGTTCAGTTTTAGCAGAGGTTGAGCATTTTCGAATGTTTGCCGTCGAATGCTTACGCAATTCAGCGGATTTTCAAATAAACTTCAGCAATCGTGTAAGAAAGGGCGAAAATGCGCATTGCACAGTTGGTTACAACGTTGGATTTTGAACAGGGTTTGCAAAATCCCGACGGTTTTTCAATCCCGGGATCGGGATTCAATCTCGGGGTCGACTTTCAATCCCGAGATTATCCCGGGATCGAACAAATTTTGAAATATCGATGCGTGACTTGTTTAAACACATTTTTCGAACCATTATATTCATAATTAATCAGAAAGGAGTTGTTAATTCAACAAATTATCGAACAAATATAAGAAAACAAATTATTCAAATTCAAATTAACATTTCATATAAAGATACTAATGGTCATGCATAATGCAGTTTCATGCATAATGCAGCAAGGCATAATGCAGTTTTTATGCTAATTGTAAGGCNTCTTGTCATCTCTGGTCTAAGCTGATAACAGTTCACTTGCATGTGATGTTCTTGATTCTCAAACACCTGTTTGCGATGCTTCAAGTCCATTTTCTGACATTGCGAACATCTGCTGAGTTCTGGCATTTCAGAAATTTGGATCTTTTTACAGAAATGTATCGCATAAATTAAGTCATTTGAATTTTGGAAAAATTAAAAGTTCAGAGTTTATCTAAAAGGTAAAAAAGACATCCACAATGTATTTTCATCGAACCATCGAGCACTTATATACTTAATAATTTTGATCAAAAATCATGGAAATTTGCTTGATAAAATCATGGAAATTTGCTTGATATTAAGATCCTTTTGAATGGAACAATTTCGCTCACTTTAATAATGATGTCTCACAAGGTGTGATCTCAGTGAGAATCAGTGCACATTTTGATCGAATGAAAATGATTCCAAATACCGAAGTCAAGCGACTTGCAGTCTTTAGAACGTGCACTCCAATTAACAGATAGAATATTGAAACTGAACAAATCGCATAAAAGGAAACAGCTCAAAATTTCGTTGCACTTGGTTCTCATTAGAAAATGTGATCTTCCCATTAGTTTACATAGAAATCCATCCGGATGAATGATATAAATTAATGAGGAGCACAATAATCATTTGAATGTTCAATGAAATGTTAAGCAAAAGTTCATCAAGCTGTCGTTGATCGTGTCATTCGCCTGACATGCGTTTATTTCCTTGACCGTTCATCAATGACAGGTGGCAAACAACAAAGATGACTGCATATGAGTAAGATGGTGATGAGTAAGGCTGTTTCATTATGGGCAAATTATCAGAATTGATTCAAATTGACCTGCTTCATCAAATCCCGGGATTTTTGAAAACTTAAATCCCGGGATAGGAATCGAAACTGAAATCCCGGGATCCCGTGAAAACCCTAGTTCTGAATTATAGTTATCCGATTTAGCCTATACTTCGACAACTTAGATTGACAAAAAGATATCAACTGATCGATGATGATGGCGAGTACTATTGGGAAGCATTCTCAATGGTCAAATCCGGGAATATGAACAGAAATATGAGATGGAGAATTCGGTTGGAAACGCCTTCGCTTGCACTCCGATTACTTCTGAGAATTGATCAATTCATGACAACAGAACGGTAGCAACCTGCAAAATTAATACTTCCACCTGTATGTTTTCCATGTAAGCCTAAGCCTAAGGTACAGATCAAGTTTAGGCCTCAGCCAGGTTCTAATTCAACCAGGTGAAACTAGAATATCAGGCAAGTGAAAGTAGGACTTTCACAGGTTCTTCACAATCTTTCCTTTTCTAATAATTCGGTACGAAAACGCATGATCTACCAAACGCATTAAAATTGCTACTTGATAATTCATTTGACAAAATTGGCCCCTTCATGATATCGATGAGATGATAACCCTTCCCATTCGAATTTTTATTCGAATATGATAATGTATATCGTCGTTTCATTCGAAAATAAGTATAATGACATATGCGTATAACTGATCACACAATGTGCTGTTCACAGATGCGAAACTCATCGATTGAACTTCATTATTTGGTCAACAGCGATGCAGTTCCCTGCGGTATCTGTGGAACAGCTGCAAAATTCCGACAGGCAAATTCGATTTCTCCGAAAAGATCGTTAAGTCAGCGCATTTTTCAGTTTTCATCATAATTCATTCACCCTCACAGAATTAGTTCATCGCATTAGGTTTACAGCGAATGGAATGATCACTCAAAATCGAGTTCGCCGGCTCTTCAGAACTTAGATGAATCCTAAGGAATCAAGTTTTGGTGTAGCTTTAAAATTTCCATTTAATATCGGAAGATTTTTCTTTATGATCAGGAAATTTTTCTCTTGAAATAATGCTGTGTCGATAATGAAATTATTGATTTTCTCATATTACAAGCATGATCTTGTCTCGTATACTTCGTTTATTTGGCTTAAGCGTTCTTCTGGTTTCCATGGAACTCGTATGTGTAAGCCAATATGCTTACGATTAATCGTCCAATGGAACATTATTGAATAATCGGTTTACGACTGATTGAATTTCGTGTTAATGCTTCAAACAATGACAATATGGAACGTTTCCTTACGGAAGCATTCATTCGTGTAAGCAATTGCTTTCTCGAATACTATGAATCACCCGAATCAGTACAAAAAGGAACAACTACATCAACCAGTGAGCATCACTTCGGTGAGTCGATTCGCTGTCGCTTAAGTTAATCCTTTGTGAGCCTAAACGTAGATCGAAGCCTAGCAATAAGCCTGAACTCAACTCAATGGCACTGA